TGAAACCAGACGGACAGACAGTCAGGGAGTGTTTTGATTGAAACAATGATAAGAAGGCGAGACAATATCTAATTAGCTGGTGTTTGGCGTTAATAAAACGTGCCAGTTTTCGTGCGGGTGATCGGTAAATAGCATGGTGTGTGTGTGTGGGAGAGGAGAAACATGTGAATGTTTGTCAAGTTCTTCTCTTCATCACATTTGATAAGTGAGGTTGACGGATTGGCCGAGTTCTTTAATTCACGAGGGTAATAACTTCACTATTCACGTGATATTTCTGACGACAACAGGAGAAGAAACTAGAAGGAATCCTGATTTAGATGGAATGATCCATTGGAAAGGCGCCTCTGCCAATAAAATGTTGGTTCCAGTTTACCACGTGAAATGCTCATTAATTCACTTCATAATACAAAGATATCCTGCTAAATTTATGTGTTCAGCAATTATTGAAGACAGTTGGCGGTGTGCGCATAATAATGACTGGGAGAAGAATGCAATTTATCGAGTACTTCGGTACACAATTGTCAAGCCGTTTGTTTAGGAGCATGAATGAGATTGGAGAGGATGGACGGGAATAAAGTTGTCTGTTTCATTTTGTATAAGGTGATACTCAAAAATGGACTTCCGTGTAAAGTTCACTCCATGTTGGCTTTACGTGAATGGGTGTTTACCAAGCTCCGTTTGGTCATGCCTTGTTAGCTGAAAGAGCAGAAAAAAGAAATTTTGAGGCAGAATCACACGATCTATCGACAAATGCAATTGTGATAGTAACGCTGATTAGAGGTTAAACAAAGTTGGGGTAAGGTGGTGTAGATCCTTCAGGCGAAATAAGGACCTGGAAATTACTGGTTGACCTTTTGGTAGTAAATTTCGACAAACCGAAAGATAGACAGCAAGCAGTTCAGCAGTCATGCGACATGAGTCTGAGACGGTGAAGCTAATGAACCTACTTCGCTAGGCGTCTCCTACATTTGAAGGCGTGTCATAGACGCAATCATTGGCTTCTCAATTTAGTGGAAATGTTGTAGACCACATTGTGCAGCAATTACTGCTTTTCAAAAATGCATTGCCCATATGTTTTGTTAAGCTAGTGAAGGTAACTAGATAAATAATGAACACAAGCGTAACGGCAGTAGAGCAACCGAAGTCAAACGATTGAGAAGAGAATTTCAAAGACATGCAGCGTGAAGGGCAGAGCCAGTGATTACAGCTGACAAGAGTCTCGAAGCTTAGTAAAAATACTCAGGAATCGCACTTGTATGGCTTTCACCCTGAAAGTTCGAGTATGATGAAAAAATGAAGTCTTCGATAGTCTGGCTGAGGGGTTACGCGATTAAGCCAAGTGGTTAATCGGAAGACAATAACCTTATGAATTTAGTGACAATGTGTTTGGTTCACCGTAATTCGAAACAAGAAAAGACAGGCAGAGTTATATCTCAGTGTGGATACAGAGCTGCGAACCAACGACTAACTGATCGAATAAAAGAGAGAATAGAGACATCGACTTGGTAGGTCGGAGAAAGACTGATATCTGATACATTACTATTTTATCGGGAATATTCGGACCACATAAGGCATTTATTCCATTGGTAATTATGTCTTTATGTCGGTGCATGCCATGTCGATTGGGCAGTCTCGTCCGGTTTATTTGCAACTACTATGCTCGGGCACATCTTCAACTGTCTGGTGAAATTCTATTTTCAGACTGAAATGTTGGATTTGAAATGTTTGAATTAAATCCTAAGAGAAAACTTTTCACTAAAGTACTCTCAATGGATTGTGCTTCAGATGTGAAAACTAACAGTGTTAACTCCTTAAAGAAGAAGAGTCCAACTTCGCTTTTCACTTGCCAGATGTGATTTCTGATGGTAGAGAGGATGACACGTTAATAAGATTGATGTAGCGAAAACCATTTTTACATAACAGTACACTAATTTCAACAATTTAGTACCTCTAGGCAGGAAGAGAAATCTCATGGGTTCTCTATTCTCCAGACTTCAGAAAATTTGCTATGTTGATACGTACGACTGGGAATAAGAGAGCCTCCGTACAGCTCTCTCAAATAATGCATAATCTAGAATGCTCATCGACATAAACATCAAGAAAGAGACTGTCCTCGGTCAAATCTCATTGTCGTAGAAGACACTGCTTATGAGTTTTGCTTTCAAAGTTGACAGTATTTCTGAAGGAATTAAAAGTCGTTTTTCTAAATGTATTAAATCGGCTTTTTTATGCATCTGACCTATACCAGGACGATGGACTCCTTCACCTCTCTTAGCCAGAAATAAAAACGTCGGTCGATAGGAAATCTTGAACTTGAGGCTAGAAACCCGATTCTGCAAAAAAATAAGCGCTGCCACAGAAAATGCAAGCCTTCAAGCTTGAAGTCCTATGTTCCAGTGAGAAGTTGAAGGAATGAAAAAAGGAGAAACAAGATTCCAAAGTGAGCCAAGTATAAACTATCGTTAATGTCTACCTCTGTGTACATTTACTCTTTCACATGCTCCTGTGAAGCTGATTACGATGGACGTCATACGCGTGTTCTCAGTTAACGCGTAGCTGAACACTACCCGGTTCAGGCAACAAAAGGTGAGCGAAAGACGAAAATGTTTTCAACCTGTGAACACATTCTGGAATCAGGTCCTTCAAACCCACGTGATTTACCCTTTAAAGTCGTCTACAGGACGCAAAAAGCTTACGTTTTCTCCACTGATGCATAGCTGAAGCTTTAGCTATACAACGACAAAAAACTAAATAATGTATTCAACAAAGTTCTGTTAAACCCTTTTTCCTCTCCTTGGTTATAGGACTGTTCTTGTATTTCATACCATTTTATCACTTAGACTCATTCCACATCATTTCACCTTCGCTGCCTTTATTGTTATCATTATCGTACTGCTTGTTTTCAAGAAGAACACTTGACCTACAAAATTAAACTCTTTACACCAGTTCATATATTGAATAACCTTTAACAATTTTGTAATTCATCCACTTCAACTCTACCTCGTCCTTAGTACAACATTTTAATTATCTTTATTCTTATCATCATCATATGTGAACTGTTGACAGAACAATTTCCAAATGCAGCCACTTATTACCTTCTCTTTTTGTAATACTGTTACGACTGTACGGTTAGCCTGAAAATGAAGTCGTTGAAAAGAGACACTCATTCTATGAACAAAACAAGGTGTTCATCGCTTTAACTCTAGAAAATCTCAGGCACACTCTGATTTCTTTTATTCTCCAATGGATCTTCTTTCGCAATTTATACTTAAAGCGATCAAATGTGAAATTTATCTGAACCCTTAAAACTAACTGAGATGCTTTAACTGAATCCTCACAGAAAAAACACTTCAGTGAAGTGCTCTCAACAGAGTGTGTGCTTGAGAAGTGAAAATGAACAGTGCTTATTCAAATCTGTGCAGTAAACTTCAGGTCAACTGGAATCACTACACCAGCCTCCCCCCTCACCACCGACAAACACACAATACATTGTATAAATACGGTGGATGCTCAAACATTAATTACTCATTCATTTCGTGTACTCAATAAGGATGTCATTATTGGTCTTCGTCACTTTCCTGTTGCTGAACTGTTTGTTGAGCTGCTTCGGTGAGTTGATTGTTGGACGCGTTCATTATTTCTGTGCTACCTGTTTCACAGAAAATTGGTCAGATATTGACTAGGGTAGAGAATGTGACACGAATTCACGATGTCTGCGTGCAGTGAGTCGACAGACATCGATTTGATTTCACCTTCGAATGAAGAGTCGGTGGATTTCGTTTAAAGTGGTGAAGACAAGTGAGGATGTTGATGTGAAATCGTGATGAGCTTAGAGACACTTATCTCGGTGTATGTCATTTATAATCCAGTGGAGTATTTGCAATTGATAAATCCCTCTCCACTCAAACACCTCACTCATAGCATAGTTTTGAGTTGACATATAGAAATATACGCCTTGCATGACTATAAACAACATGCTACATGATTACGATACTATTAGCCTTCAAAGCGTGGAATTCATAAGCGTGGTCACTTACTCACAGTTTTCGTACCTACATAGCAATTTAGGTTGCTACATTGCATGCAGCACACAAAGACAGACGAAGGAAGAAAAAAAGGGTTCAAAAGTAGTGTATTATGTATGTACTAAGACGATCATCATTACGAATTCTTTGGCACGGAACTCCTTAGACCCTATCAGTATACGTCTCAGACTGATACAACTTCCCTACTTCAGTACTGAAGTCACCTGCTGTAAACACTATATATTACTTATCTTTTCAGCGAACTAGATAGCTTTCGATTGGACTCATCTTCTTCATGTCGTTCGAATTGCAATCATTCAAAAAGTGTGCCGAGATTATAGGAAGATGTCGATGTTAATCGCAGTCTTCCGGCTTCTTCTAACGGATCTGTTCAAGCAACTGTCAAATACAACTATACGAAGTAGGGATTCTTTTGATGCAGTTTCGTGTGAATATTCATGCAGGTATTTCTTCTATGCACTATTGCGTCTGCGGTGTCACTTATAGCTTGTCACATACAAATCGTTGTCTAACAAATGATTTCCCAGAGATCAATTCGTTGGTGTTCTCACTCAATATGCTTTTCTGGTACACATCCATACACACTCCTACTCGCTATAATACTTATTACATCTTGACGACATTTCATTCTGAATTGTGCAACACCTTGATTCATTTTCCAGCTGCTCATAATTCCAATTCGAATTCGTCTCCATTCTGGTGTACGTTAATTACATTCACAATAACGCGCTGCGCCTTTTTGTATATCGAATATTTGGTAGCAGTCACATCCACCCACTACAAGGGAATACATATATGATAGAAACAGCACTACTCGCTCATACTCACAGAGTCACAATCGACTGAACAGTTGTCATGTTTATTTTGCCAATCAAGTAGCTCATTGGTGATTATCCTTAGACTAAACATACTACACTTTATCATTCATTACCTTCACACCTTTTACTTTTATCCATGACATCATCAGGAACAATATCCGATGTCAAAAAATTCAGCGTTCTCCTAGATGATGTTAATTCAACACTAATGGAATACATGAAAGCATATAACGAAAGTCAAATAGCACAACGTAAGCACTGAGAATTTATACTGATTTTAATTCATTCCATTCTTCACTTTATCATTTAAACAAGATTAGTTGCTCATTTTTAATTGGTTCATTATCTAACAATAGTAAGCGCATTGTTTGTTGGAGGCACACATGTTGTGTGAGAAGCGATATGTTAGTCTCTGAGTAAATATCTCAGTAGGCGTGTGTAGCAATCTGCACCTGATGTATACAAACATCACATCATACATGGAAGAAATTTATCTCAGAATTGAAGACATTCTATATAGGTGTGACGTTTTCATTGAATAATATTGCCTGGTTTCATTGGCATTCGTACATGTTTGCTGACAGACAATATCACGATCACTGCCTGTTTCCATGGAAGGTCATGATTAGTGTTATACATTATTGGTGATAAGTGAGTGGTAAGCTATCGAATGCAGTCGTCAAACACATGTTGAATTGTAATCTTTCAAATTTCTTTCTTTTCGTAGTTAGGGTTTACAAATATCGCGGGGCTCTTGGTGATACGGATTTGGTAGAAGAGCTGTTAAAAGGTGAGATCATTGATGTGTACAGGATTTTTAATACGAGATATTTAAGTATAACTTGTTCTTTATGATATAACGTGAACTTAATGAGAAGCATTCAAATCTATACGCATCACACAGAGTTTTCTAGATTTCCCACGTATCACCTTATCATTCAAATTGAACGGAACAAAATCGATAAATGTGCACTTGAATAATCGTATGAGATGGTATTAGATTATATCTAGGATTCCGATCTGTGGACTACAAACTAGACAAAATAACTGGGATGAAAATTATTTTGAGGTACTCACTATCCTTTACTCAAAGTGACATGGCTTAATCGATAGGAACGAAGATCAACATGAGGGGGAAATGAGGTTATTAGAAGTTAGAAAGACCCAGAATTTACAGAGTTAGAGAAGTTGTCGTGATGAAATCTTGCACTTTGCTACCATCAAGTCAGTGTAAGTCTCACCACTGTCTCTCTTTCTCCGTGCATCTATTTGATTTTAATCGTTTCAGCAAAATTGAGCAGGTAAGGTTTTTTCGCCTGTGGATTATTTTCACCGCCGGCGAGTTGTCTTCAGTATGATCAATGTCGAACGGATGAAAGCCAACCGAACTGTTTAAAGCCTGACAAAAGGCCATTGAATCTCATTTGATTCGTGCCATCTTGTAGGCTGCCGAGAAACACAGTATAAATTCATATGAATATTATTCACCCTAGCCACTTTGTTGCACTGCTATGAAGAAAGACACTTTCTGTGGTTGCGGAACTCTCACACTGTTGTACACTTTCCACTTAAACTTTGTCTCCACCGAAACATTTTGAACTTTATTCTCGAGTGTGTACTAGTCCAATCACCTAACGAATACTCAGTCATTCTATCTCTTTATAAATGAACAGATTACATCATTGACACTTCCAATCATTTTATTCCTGTCATCTGGCGGACGTTATCTGTTCACCTTCGATGTAGATCATGGTGTTTGTTGCGTCCAAGTTGTGCGTGTGTGTGTGTCTGTTCGAATATTTCTCGCCTCATCGATGCGTATTCAAACTTTCTCAGATAATTCATATTTGTTGTAAGATGGAACATGGTGACAGAGTGAAAAAATTCACATCCATCGAATGTCAGACATCCAGTGTCTAAGTGGAATCCAATAGTTGCATCTGTCATCTGATATGCTCTACGCAAATGTTTTATTAATTTAGAAAGTCACAGACTGGATCGTTTATATCAACTGAAATGGATTAATGAACTAATATGTAAGTAAAATTTATGAATCCATCTTTTTGCCATTTAGTTGTTTGATTGAGAAGGGATGTAGCGATGTGAATGTAAAAATCTTTACCGAGTGTATCACATGGTTAGAATCAGCTAGTCAGTCAGTAAATTAGTTAGTATGTTATTAAATTAGTGAATAAGTTGAGAGTTGTAAGCAGATACGATACCGTATGCCACACGATTCTGTGGTGGCTAAATATCCGAAATTAATAACCAACCTTCAGTAAATGCAGAGAGATTTCATCAGTTATAGTCGACTGAATGCGATGATTTGCCATATCCACTGAATTTATTAGACACGTGAATTACTGGTACTCCTACGTCACGTTAAGCTGCATTTCACAGTGTCACCACTCTCACTGTATCACTAATGTCCACAGAAATCATTCTGGTGAGCGCTGCACAATCATAATTCTAACAGTAAGCATACATAGAAATGATGATTTCATTGTGTTCGTTCACTGAACGGCACTAGCGACGATGATGATTTCAGTGTCAGTCAACGCTCTACTGGTAGAATATCGATCGAAGTCAGTGGATACATTGTCCGAAATGTGAAATGCGCTTTCGCACACACATTGATGGGAAGCCGATCACTCATCACATCTTCGTATTATAAGAATCAGACATCAGAATTGATTCCTCATTCAAGTACATGAGATTCACGATAATTTCCAACTTTGTTTACAGCTTCACGTGTTTTCCAGGCAAGAGATGTGATTGACGAAAATACAAAGAAACGATTTGCAGGTGAGTTATTTACTTCATGTGTATACTCAGATAATTTAACCGGCAGTTTTCACAAACGACGTTTCATTCTTTCTACGTTTCTTCTTCTACTTCTTCTTAACATTCTGGAGGTTGATCACATGAAACCTCTCCTCCTTTGACGGAGCATATCGAATTGCACTTCCGTCTACAATGTCATGAATAAAGATGAATACACAAATAGAAAGACACATCTTCAAAAAATCAATGTCTTTTCATTCCTGCACGCATCATTCTCTCACTTGTGGACCCCTGGATCCATTCAGTAAACACCTGGATGAGAATCTCATCTGGAATATAGTTCACAAATAGTGATCTGGCCCTAATGTCACTGAGCCTGAGCTCACCATCATCTATATAATAAACACTGACTGTTGAATAGTCAAAACATAGTCAGGATTATATAATGAAGCCAACTTTATTGTTTTTCTGCACTTAAATATGTCAGAATTGTGTCTTTCTACGTGATTGCACAATTTTAATGCTTGTAGATGAGTACGAAATGGAGAAAGGCGTGAATGAATCTGCTCCCCTGGACTATGGTAATTACTGAATTTTCATTCACCGTATTTCTTTCTTATCGCTCCCTGTTGATGCAATTATGACAGATGTGAGTTAAATCCTGATAACACGGACAAGACTGTGCGGTGCGTTTATGCAGCGTTTGATCACTGAAGTGGAAATTTATGTTTATACGAACACACCGAATCCACTGGTAGTTATCTCACATATTTGTGCACTTATTCGCATTGATTTTATAAACACGCACATTGTTCCCATGCATGAAACAGAAAAAGAGCATTTAGTATGTGCCGTTGCACTGTTGAATGTGTGGTCAAGCATCTGTGATATATTTGGTGACGGTCCATACCGAGATGTTCAGTCACCTAGCATGCTGACCACACTGCAAACTTGACTGATATAATTCAGTTTCCACCAAAATAGGGGACAAATCGAATGAGATTAGTTACTGTCTAGTGTCGAGTGAAATTTGTCAGACATTATTTCTCAGATGGTCAGCAAGTTGATGGTGAAGTATGTACGTTAAAATTGATGAATGTCAGTCTCCATGGTTTAATTTTATTACATTCTTCATAGTGTCATTTCAAAAGGGTTATTCAATATTAAAAGCTTCTGCATAATATCGTTGAGCAGAAATTATTGACTGGGTGGAAGTGTTCAACAACTTTTGGCACGTCCACTGCCAGTGAAGACACTTCGTTGATATCCAAAGATTCTGCATAATGTTACTTAGCGGATGGTGACTAGCCATTGAAGTATAATTGTGTAGTCCAGTGGATACCGCTTTTGTGTTAAATACAAAGAATACAGAGTTCGAATCTCGCAGTGTGTGTGCGTGTGGAGGTGGGAGGATTGGACACCATTCAGCTGATCAGCGTCTAATAGGATGAACTCCTCACGCCACATTCTATTGCACCACTTAAACATTCCTCTGATAGAAAGACTTCCTTACAACAAGTGTCTCTGATTAGTAGATTTTAGTTTGAATTACAGAAAACTAACACCTGTTGACGCATACTCATTTTTCTCCTACTATCTCTTGCAGGAACTGAAATTCTTCTTGAGACAATTCCAAGGAAATGGGAAGCCAGAGCAAGATTAGATACTGCTGAAGGTGAGAGCGTTTTAGCAGTTGACACATTCTTCTCTCCTAAGCAGACATGAGTTCGAATATCACATTCCTGAAAATTGATAGAATAGTCAGGGGGTGAATAAAACGGCATCATGGTAATCGTCAGGCATACGGCTGATTTCAGGTTCACAAGGCATATGCATGCTGAAATAAAATAGAGTCGAGTCTTTCGTGTCAGCCAATCAGTGAGCCAGTAATTTGTTTACCTCCAAAAAACTATCCAACTCTGTGTCTCAGAAGCATATCGCATGTGGAATTCTTCATGAGCTTTTATCATAGGCTTTGAGAAACCATATTTGCCTAAGATTACTGTCTGATTCGTACTGAGGAGGAGTGTTAGTGGGATGCAGACGATATCATACACTGCTGGTTTTCAATCGATTGTTTCAGACTAGTCAATGTTTGGCGGTGATTATTCAGTCCTAAATGTGGGAAAATGATTCAACTCTACTAAAATTGAACAGTCCTCAGCACGTCAAGTGAATCTCGTTTATTCTCTTAAATTTCTTATAGATGCCTACCTGTCTAAATCATCGGAAAATTGTTCAACAAAAGAAGGTAGGCGTTTGAGGATCAATTTTCACGATTTCTAGCATTTTCCATGAGAAATATTAAATTTAATTCGGTATTGAACTGTTATCTCTTCCTCGTAACACATCTCCCACGCCACATTCGAACCTAATCTCAACTGTTCTTTTACTATTCAGGTTCTACTCGAGAATAACGGTTAGAGTGGAGCGCGATGTCATTCGATGGTTTCGCCAGCATGTACTTAATCCATCCTATTTAGTTCGTTCCCAGAGTTTTTGCTGCTGATTTCATCTGATCAACATTCAGTATGGAGACAGAAGAGGGTGTTTTCGATAATAGCCTGCAGTGGCCTCTTAGAAGTGCTTTTCGTGAAGTGCGCTGGTGAAGTTACTGACCCAAACTATCCTGAGATCAGAGGTGAAATATGGAAATTTTGTCCTTTGTATAGAATGTAGGAACTTTCTTAACTGGTTTAGGCATCCCTTTTCGTGCTGCCTATCTAAAATTGAAATGATCCTACTGAGATAAGTGAAAGAATTGACACCCTTCAGATTCCTCCCCCCCCCCCACTGAAATTTCTTAAAATTGCGAAGAAATTGCATTCTCGATTTTTGACATTCATTCACTAATCTAATCAATAACGCTGATATTTTTCTCTCCTTGAAGACAATATACCAGAAAAAGTGAATTTGACGAGTGGAGAGAATCAAATTCGAGAACTGAAAAGTAAGTTTGCAGTTGCCCTTATCTACTTGTGAAAACGCATATATATAAATGTATATATATATATTCTGATATGATATAGTACGTTATGTTGCAAACATTCTGTTATAACATGATGCAGAAGTTGCGCAACCAAACAAATCTTTTAGTCCATGTGGACAATATTCCTAGTTAGTACAGTTGAATGAACACAAAAAGGGCAATTTACTTCCGGTTTAAGCCAACCAAAAAGTTGACAGACCAAGTGACCAGTTCAGTAGCTTTCTGCCGATCACCTACAATCATCTAACCACAATTCGATGAACTGCATTAGGCGTCGTTTGTGTGTGTGTGGAGACTAATCTGCGGAGATCTGGAGGATAGTGAGAAAGTGTTGGGTTTTTTTGGGGGATTTGATTGGTTACAGGATTTTCATCATGAGCTGACATCAGTTAGAGAACCATTGGAAAACCTGAGAGTTTTTGACAGCTGTTTCGTCCTAGTTTGGGATTCTTCATCAGTACGCACCCACTGGGGTTCGAACCCGGGACTTTCTGGTTACAAGGCTAGTGAGCTCGTAGACCATTAGGCCACTGGGACCCGATCCAATGGCTCATGAATTCCAGCTTCTGCCGATTCACAATATAGCACAACCGCTAGCCAATGTCTTCCATGGCGAGTATTTGTCCTCACACCCAACCTGCTGCACCCAATCGGTCACGACTTCTGAGTGAGAAAGGCTGAGACGAATAATGAATAGACCTTTTATTTCCTGTTTAAAAATTAAATTTTATTCTCCGTTAAATTTTTTGCCTTCTAAAAGCCAATGGTCACAATTCACTGTTTAACTTTTTAGGGGCTGTCAATAAAGAGCTTTATAAAACAGCTGCGACACTGGAAGAAATGCTGTTTAATTCGGATATTGGAAGTAAGTTGCATATAATGAGTGTATGTGTGTGAAAATAATATTTTGACTCGTGATGCTTATTTCAACCTGTCTGTAGGATTACCATATTTAGTGAGCATTTGACAGCAATGAATGGCACTCGATGATAGATTCGATGGTCACGGATACTCTGCAAAAACACTGGTGTCATCAAATAAATATTTCAGACTGCGAGACAGTGCAAGTCGCGCACCATTCGATTGCACATGAAAAACTGCATAATAAAAATGTGCATGTCTCCCCTCAACAGTCTTCCGTGATAGTTCATCCATCACTCTTGGAATCGATATGTACATTATGCAATCTTCATGAGTGAGTTCGCAGGATTTAGATTTGATTCAAGTCTGCTCGTGAAATGATGTGCTGACTTGACGCAGATTGATACAAAGTGGTCAACACTGGAATCAACATTTTGAGTGAATGTCTGCAGTAGTGATAGAATCGTTTATTACTGAAATCTCGATTTCTATTACCTTGAGGACATGAAATAACCTCTATGTGAGACTTTTTTAGCCTGGGGTGATTCGGCAACCATTCAGAACTACTGGGTTCAAAGCGTGCTGGTAGATCATTCACTCACCACGACCCGATGCACTGATCAGTCTATGAATTCTCACTTCTCCAAATTCGTAAATGTGGTATAATCACAAACGAATTTCATCGGAGTGTATTTATCCTTACACCTGACGTCATGGATCCTAGTGATTACAACCTCTCACTTGAACTAATGTCACTTCATCATGCATAGAGGCAGTCACTGACGGGCATCAGGTTAGTTTTCATGCGTTACTTCGTAGAGACTTGAATGGTTTTAAGCGTCAACACGTTTTGATATCAGTTGGAGAAGCATAGGCCACTAGTACACTGAATCTCCCAGAATAAAGAATAACTCATTAGATATCATCGTATGTATCGTAGTACCTTTTAGTTGTAAATGCCATCACTGAAAGTGATTTGTGAGTGTTCCTGGCCCAAGTTCAGGTGTTCAGTTTCACTGTGTGTCCCATGACCTGATGGGTTTCCTTGAAAAGCAGAAATTCTTGTCTTTGAATGTTTCAGAACATAATGCATTACATGCCAATGCAAAATCGGCCGAATTGAATTACTACAGTGTTATAGGTAATTTAATTTTCATTTTGTGTTTTATTTTTGGCTCGATTTTATTGTTCGATATTTAAGAATTTGCACATTTTCTGTTACGTTCCCAATAAATCCATCTACGGCGCGTCCACATCAAGCAGTAAAGTTGTGACGAAATGCAAAAGAAACTGACAGTGGAATTTGCCTCTTCACTGTGTTGAGTACATATGTTGATCCATATGGAAATGTTGTGTAGCGATCTATTGTGGTTTGCCAGCCCCACGCAGTGAATATTAGGTAGATTTCGGGGTGTATAGGAGGAAATCGCCTCCAAAATAATTCAAATTAGTTATAAGCTGAACTGGTGATTCATAGAAAATTGCTTTTATTTTCTGCACTTCAGATGCACTTGTCAACAAAATAGCCGAGGTGGAGCATCACCGTCTTCATTATCTACAATGTAAGTCAGTCTCATATTCATAACAGTTTTATCCCCACTCTAGTACTTTGTCCAGGTGAAAGAGTGAAAGTCTTCATAGACTCAGTGACTGCGGAGGTCTACACACCACCGAAGTACGTTCCTTCTATGTAATTTGTCTTCGTGGTAAAATGTGTTTATTAGTTTATTCATTTATTTATTCATCGCGAAATTGATTAATGAGCATTCAATGACGTTCGCTGCATATCCCTTATCTGATAACACTGGAATATTCTGCATGAATTTGCATTGAATGCCCTGGATATGCTGGAAAGATAACGAGGCATTCCAGTCATGAGTTACACGTCAACATTTTGGATGGAACGAGGTCTTAAGCTCAAGTTGATCTTGAGTGCTTTTGATGAATGACACATTTGTGTGGTTGCATCGAGTGGCAGTCATGTGTCACTGTCATCTTTGCCACTCCATCACCTTATGAATTCCCAAAATATCTGGCTTCAGTTCATGAAGGGAGGCCCATTGCATGAATTCTGTAGTTGATTTTAAAGTCATGTCTAAGGTTGGCAGAGTGACAAAATTGGGTCAAGTATTCTAGAATAATGAGCTTCACAAACACTTCCTTTCCTCGAGCTGCAATGTGCCCTGCTTTACTCTGCTCTTCGTGTGGAAGGCATTCTCTTCGAGAGCCTTGTATACTCTGCAGCATAACAATTAGTGAACTGTGATAGATGCACACGGAGACAATCGGATGAGTGAGATTACTTCTCACACAGACGAAAACCAATCTTCATATGACTGATGTGAGTCGGCTGAAGTATTTATGTAGTGGTGTGAAACTCGGAACTCTTAATTCATACTCCAGTGAATTGTTGCACATTTTGATACGGGGAACATTATCTCCGTCAGACGATCACTTTCCATGAGAAGCAATGAATGTAAGTGACATCATTCATTTCTTTATTCAACGTCGTAACAACATCTTATAGTTTGGATGACATAAATACCCTGGTCAAATAAGTTGTTTATTTATTTAGTTGGTTAACTAGTTAGTTGTTTAGTCGGTTGGTTAGCTAGCTGGTGTTCATTCTCATACTCATTTCTTCATAAAAATAGGTGAACATATGTGTGTTAAATGATCTAACTGGTGTGTTTGATCGTTGTTATTTTTCAGATGAACATCGCTTACCATCAACACATTGAAGGAACATATGTACAATACATTAAAGTCCTATTCAGCAATTGATCCTTAAATTCCTAACTCTCTGTTTTTGTAAATGAACTGTAATGTAAATAAATGTTTGTGATAGTTTCGTGAACTGTGAATTATTTTCTGCACAGAAGTTTCGCGGTGAAAAGGTGTCATTTAGTTGTAGTTTACTATGATTTGATTTATTAGAGGTTTGCTCACGAGCTGGTGTGTGTGTCAGAGAGTTATTGGAATTACAGAAGCGGATACTAGGTGACTGCATGCTCCTCGTGTTAGACTTTACAGTACAACGCAACCACCAGTGTTAAAACTTAATGACTGAATGCACAACGAGCTCACCGCGTGAACGAAAATTTCGGTAATCAAAACCCTGTGAATGACTACGTGTCAAGAGTTTCAAACTAGGAGCGAACGTTTTTAAACTACTTCTTGATGGTTTTCAATTATTCTCCGAATGATATCATCTCATGGGTGAATCTTTCACGTTGAAAGACATCTGTAAAACACAAACTCGCTCCTCTCATTATGAGCATAGTACTGATCTTTAAGAGCTCATTTCCACTACACTGTCTTCTGTACTTCAATTTCATCTGGCTATGTGACTGCCTTTCAAGATTTCATTTCCACATCACATGATCTCTCTTCTCTCGTAATTGGACACCAAACTCGTTCATCCCACATTATTCACATTTCATTCACCTGAATATCTGTTCATGTAGAGGTCCAATCCCACAAATTCAGGACAATAGTCCACCGACTAATGAAGCCATACGTCAACTGATCCGTGAAATCCCAAATCACAGGTTTTTTCTGAAATACGATAGACTATATTCAACATAAAATATGAAATTAAATATACAAACCTCGATTTTAGGGTGTCTGTGGCCATATACCAATCAAAATCCACAGTCAATTTGCGTCTCTGAGATGAAACAGCTAAACTGTGTCAAAGACGCTTCATGCTTTGATTTACACAGCGTGCGAAAGGCTGTCCAGTACTCTTTGATGCTTTTTAATGCTTCTTTAACTGATATCAACTCGTGGACGAATCTATAAAGACATATTTAAAACATAAATGAAACGTGTCATTTCATGTCTTTCCTCATCACACTTTGAGCGTTCTCCTCTAGTCTCAACACTCCTACATGCCTGATAGCATAGTTCTCCTGTACCAAGGGCATTACGCCGTATCCCCATATGTGCGTCATATATGTGACAGAGTGAATTCTGTTTTCATGCAGTGCTGAGGAATAATGTAACAATCATTCAACATCAAGCTTGATGATCACACCACACACCAGAATTGCTTGCAGAAATGTGATCCTACCTACTGAGGTATATTGACGGTTCCAAGGGATATGTGACTGCGATTCTTTCACCAGTATTTTGCATAGAGTTCTATATGGTGGACCGCAAACAGGAGAAATACGTGCGGAGAAACATGAAGCTGTGAATTATTATAACAATAAAACTATTGGCTTCGATGTGAAGATAACAATTGATGATTCAGTCCCTGTCATATATCTCATTGAGTGTGAGCTGGAGTTCATATTTCAGACCATTACACATCCTCATTCGCATACAATCATCGCATGACAATTCATGATCTTCTTGTCCATATTCAGATTCAGTCTAATCAGTCATCTATAACGACAGCCATCATATTCACTTGTGTTATCCACAGAGGATTACGTCAATTCAACCACATAACCGTCAACCCTACTGTCATCAAGATTATTACTATTCAATACTTGCATTTTGGGTATAACACTGAGGTTCAAGCCCTTTCATCTGTTTCCCTGCCTTCCCTGCTAAAATTTCAGCAGACTCTGTGACCGCCTTTTAAGAATTCATCTCCACTTCAAATGATCTCCCTCATGTCATACATGGACGCCGAACTCGTTCATCGCACAGTATTCACAGTCCAGTCAATGACTTGTTGTAGCATGTCACCTAAATATCTGTTCAGGCGTATGCCTAAACCATTTCCACTTAACCTTGCATATCTTTTGTGGACAATGGGTGTGAATTCACTCCAAAAGGAATTCAGGACAATAATCCACCGACTAATGAAACCATACGTTGATTGATGCGTGAAATTCCGAATCACAGGATTTATCTGAACTACGGTACATTATATTCAACATAAAATATGAAATTAAATATACCAGCCTCAATTGTGTGTTGTGTGTAGCCAAAAGTCAATTAAACATCACAGTGAATTTGTATCAATGAGATATAAACAGCTAAGCTGTGTCAAAGACGCTTCATGCGTAGATTTAAACAGCGTGCGAATGGCAAACATACAAGATATATATACGAATATACGATTTTCAAAATACTGATGAAAGCGTAGCAGTCAGTAAATAATCCCACAGAATTGTCAGTCTATGCCATGTAATCATTCAATAGAATCCACTAAGCGGTGCTCTTAAACTCATTGATGTATGAGCTGAAGATGTTGCCCAGTAGGGCAATGAAAGCTTCACAAATTAACTAATTATACAGGTCAGAGAACACAACCACATCAAAAAACAAATATAATTCCTGCAAACTAATTCATTGAAAGGAATTATAAACAACTAAGCTATTCATTCGATGTATGGTTATTTATTACTTATCTAAAACATTTCAGTAGTATGAACTTATGACCTAATAAAATCCGATGCCTTATATCAGCAATTTTGTTAATGGAGTTCATTTGCATTTGGAGGATTTTTTAATATACACCAGTTCATTGAATTTCAATACTTTTTAGAGTATCGCATAAAAATGGAATGTCGAAATTTGTATCATCATCAAATATCAATGGCACTTTTGTCTAGATGAGATATCCCGATGATACTTTCATTATTGATTATGAGAATTCCGATTGCCGATTATTATTATTATTATTATTATTATCATTATATCCTTCAATTCCTAGAGGAACATAGGGCTTCAGCTGCACATCTCCATTGCCTTCGGTCCTCTGCCAACTTTTTCACCTCGCTCCATGTCTGCCCACATGCTTTCATCTCCTCTTCACGTGATCTCCTCCAAGTCACCCTTGCACTGACGACCAACTCTCCGCTTCCCACTCGAGCGATGGCCTGTCTAATGATGTCACTTGTTAGTTTCCTCAGCGTATGGCCGATCCATCTCTATTTCACAATCGGTTCCTGATTGCTTCGCTCATTGCTAGAGATCTCTGTTGCTGGTCTTTTCTGGCTGGCCATCTGATCTTGAGTATTGAGCGAAGACAATTGTTATTGAAGATCTGTAGTTTGTTTGAGATGCTCTTTATGACGCGCAACGTCTATGGTATCTATAATAGCACTGACTTCACATTGAAGTTAAAGATCCGGACCTTATTTTTGATGCTGAGTGCTGTTGACTTTCACACAGACTTAAGAGAAATGAGAGCTTGTCTTACTTTTCCGATTCTGTCTTTGATATCCTCGTCATTTCCGCTTGTAGTTGAAATGTTGCTTCCCAGGTTGGTAGAGGAGGTTGTTTCTTTCAGGTTCCTCCCATATATGCTGACTGTCGTCTGTTGTTTTTTCTGTTGTTGTTGGCCAGAAATCTTCATCCTCTTCTACCTGTGTCTTCTATATGTTCACCTGATGTCGTGCCTATCTTTGATGCTTCTTATATCGCCAACTTGTTGCTTTTCACTTGCATATCTTCCAGTTTGTGGGAAATCAGACATATGTCATCACTGGCGAAGTCCAGATCCTCTGAGTTTTTTGTGTGGGTCCATCGCCGAAACGTAGTCTTAAGCTTCAGTGGTGCACACTCAAATATCCATTTCACAACAGAAGTTGAATCTGAAACGATGATCCACCTGTCTACTTA